GGGGGGGAGAGAAGAGGTGAGATCCAAAGCGCCTTCTTCTTGTCAATAATTTTAGGTCAAAACGGCGACATGATAGTTTTCAGGCTATCAGAAACCTGACTTGATAACCCTGAGACAACACACAACGTCTACAGACTTGAATTACGCTGTTCGGCATCTGGAAGTACATTAATCGACATTCAGTGTGGAATGATCAGAGACCACTGTAGTCCGATACCTCCAATGCTGGCCTGAGAGGGCGAAAGGAGTTCTCCACCATGGAGGTCCCTAGAGGCCAATCTCTCTCGATCAAGATTGACTTTATTGAAGGTGGAACCCCCCCCCCCCTCCCCTTAGACTGGTTGTTAAATCGAAAGGGTGGGCAATTGAACCTTGTTAAGTTAAAATGAAAATTCCCAACCCTTTTTGGGTATCATTTGATTATCTAAAGCACTGCATTGCTCTCCATTTAAAAGGTCCGAAAGTTATTAAGCCAAATCCATTCATTAAAAGGTTGGTGGGGGGGGGGGGGGACTTTGAATTGTCATAAAGGTCTATACCAATCAGCACATCGTTCGACAATAAACGAATCTTTGTGTATTTTGACATTTAAAGCATGCTTCTAATAAATCAATTTTCTGAGACAGTGAAATATTGACTTATCATGGAAATGACAAGCATCTTATAATCCCGAATAGAAATTCTCGAACAAAAAAATCAATACTCCAAGTAAAGTATCTTATTAGTAGTGGCTAATTAAAATTGGAAACGAAAACATTTGATTGTTGATAATAATGACAAAAATAGCAAAGTTACGGTGTTTCAAGTAGTAGTGCACTGTAAGAGGGACAATTCGATCTACAGATATAGCGAACGCGCGTGAAATCGATACAGATCAATATTCGACCATTTTGAGGGGAGGTTAGCCATACGGCTTTGTTTAAATCATTGTTAATGTTGATTTAAACTTTGGTAAATACATCTTTTCCGTAAAATTTGCTAAAAGCTAATCAAATTATATTTTCACATGTAAAAACAGAGGGAAGGCGAAAGGAAATCAGATCACCTCCCGATTTGACAGTCAAGTTTAATTATCAAAGTATGAAATAAAAAAATACGAATTATTGTTTGTGTTATTCGGTTGTACCCACTTGCGGAACAAAATAACTCCAAGGAATTGATATTGTGCACTTATTTGTATAATAATATGTTACGCGATAGAGTTTCCAATTTTTGGCTTTCCAATCGCCAGGTTCGAGCACCTTTGCCATTCTTTGAAATATTCCATTGAAACACGGTATTCTCAGTGAGCTGTGCACTTGATGCCAAATAATTGAAAAGAAGCGATAGAACGTTTATTTACGTGGAAAGTAATCCCTTTTAATCGATAATCTGTTTTTTATCCGGGGTCGAAAGTAGATTTCCCTTCTACTTCTGTAACTCAGAAGCATACCTTTCTTTCTGCAATCCCCACATATCACGTATCAACACGGTCTGTAAAGTGAGTTACCTCAAGGTCACTGCCCAGACAGCACGCTGATTAGCTGAGAGCGCAGCCTTGGGACGAGTTAACACGCAGTTGCCACTCGGCCTGTGCGTGAACAAAATGACCTTGGGAAGAAGGCAGGCATGCGTTTTGCCTCTGGTAGGCGCTCGCAGACTGTGCCCATTGAAGAAATAGCCAATTATGCTTCCACTTCTGGGGCAATTGGTAATACAATGTCTCACGGATTTATTGCCATTTGATGTGTCCCCTTTATTGAGACCACAATTGACAGCTGTCTGAGTTTGGGAAATTTTATGCATAAAGTATTGATTTATTTCAAATGGCAGGCGATTTGATAGGTATCATTAGCCCTTTAGTTGACTTCGGGCTTCACAGAAAGGAAGATGAACATCAAAGTGACAAAAAGTCGAGAGGGGGGGACAGAATAATGATTCACAGATTTAAAGGAGACAGACAGACACAAAGACAGAGAAAGGGTAAGGTAAGTACTGTAGAAGGGGTCGAATATGACATACAGTGGGGTGATGGTTGTTTGAAGTCAGAAGTCAACTGCCGGTTAATAGACTTGTTTGACGTTTGCGTATACGTCGCCCAGGGAGCACCACGTGCGCACCCCATGTATAAATTGAAGAACTTGACATAGTTTCCACCATTAAAATACACTGATCTCTGAATGTGGATTGTTCAGTGCGTTAGAAAATCACATTTTATCCTTTCTCCCCACATTTGATACACAGCCATCGTAGACTCAAAATGTTTAATTTGATTAATTTATTATTTTTTTGCTTTAGTATTCATACTTCAGCCACATCCAACAGTTAAGGCCTTTTACTTAAAGTACATTTGCTTAGGGCCAGCATTTTGGCTTATCTAATGGAATTCTGGATATATTTGCAAACCCATTTTACATTTTTCCAACTGTCATCTAAAAACTTGCGATTAATGGGGAAATTTTATTGATGAGTGCATTACAAAAACCAAAAATTTTATTTGAAAAAGAAAATTCATATAAATAGCTAGATTTGACGGTTTGGTTGCTTCAGGAGGTCCAAGAACTCGTTCATCGCTGCCGACGTGAGGAGATCAAATGTCGAGTGTGTCTAGACCGACCGATGAACAACGTGTTTGTTCCTTGCGGCCATCTAAGTTGCGAGGAGTGCGGTCTCCGCTTGACGCATTGTCATATCTGCCGAAAATCCATTGAAATCCGCCAACGATGTTACTTTCCATGGGAAGAGGAAGCAGAGGATGAATCTCATTTCCATGGCGATCAACACTCAGATCCTACCCCTTCCAGACCGCAACCTGGTTCCTCTGCCCCTCCTGCTCTTTCTACCGCCTCCATTGACAAGGCCGATGGGTCTGCTGTAATTTCTAGTGCCTCCAAACCTCAACGAAGCGTTGCTTTCAATATTAATGAGAGTCTGGAATCTGATGAAGATCCAGGGGCTCGGGAATCATCATCGGAGGAAGGTATGGAGAGTTTAGAAGCCATGCATCCCGGGGCTTTTGATTTCTTCCATCGACATAGACGTCGGTCCAAACGAGAGAGCCAGAATTCAGAATCTTCATCTTTGGTTGTGTCGACTCCAATGGATAGGACGCCACCTGCCTGATATTATCTCACCCACCCACGTAGCTAAGTCAAGATGAAATGTTTTACTTCAAACCGAGTGTTCCCCCCCCCCACCCCCCTTCAATTCCTTCCTTCTTCCAGAACGCAGAAACTTGCTATTTCTTTTGTATTTTATCCTTGCATTATTATTCTCATTTATTTGGAAGAGAGGTCTCATTTTATTGAGACCACACAAGATCTCAAATGGTTGCATTTTATTACATTTTTTGTCATAAAAGGAACGCGCTTACAGTTGGGAAAGTTATAATGAAGTCAAATATTGAATATTCGATGTGGGAAGTCACAGAAACAAAGCCGATAAAATGGACTGTGACCGTGCTTCAATGCACCATTTTAGAGAAAATATTAAATAAAACTACTTCTATACGTGTTGCCGAGGTACATTAATAAGGTATCCTTGTACTTTTATGCTTAATGGCTTCGTGCAATATGTTTGTTTAAGATAAAGATCCCGGTTCATACAGTGCATATTCACCTCGATATCTCTATGTGGATTGGGAAGGATCCGCTTCTTAGTTCAAAAAAATCTCCATTTATGGTGAATTAGCTTTATTTCTGCACTTTGTCTTTAAATCCTAATTCAGTTACGAACTTCAGAAATTGTGGATACTTTCTTAAACCACCGCAGGTTAATCGATATTCTCGTTGGGATCAAAAGGGAATGATGAAGGAACACCCCTCTGTAAGCTCCCAAATGTCAAGTAATGTAGTTCTGCCTCCTTGGCCTTTGAAGTTACAAATTGAATTAAGTGACTTCACCGAAAAAAAATTGATTTGGTTATGGACGAATCACAAATCGCAATTTTGATGTACAAAAAGTGGATTTTCCATTAAGTGAATATCCATCCCATTCCAGCTGCTTTCAATGCAGTGAAAAAAAAGTCGAATATTTTTGGTGCAAACTAGAGTATAGAAAGTTTTCCCGAGATTTTATGATTTTAAATAAGGATCAAGTAACGAGAACATTGATGAGGATACTTAAAATTATATCCAATCATTTATCAGTGACATATTTTATAGGTCAAATGTTGTGGAGTTTCTTCGCGGTCGTACATTCTGGAAGGTGTGACCGTGATACTGCCTGTATTAAGGAGCAGACGATGACACAAATGCAGGGACCTCTCGACCAATCAATAATCAGGGTATACCAAATAGTATTTAAGAACCAATCAGATCATTCGTCTGTTTCGCCTCTATCGTTGAGATTCCTAAACCAATTTCGAGAGCCGTTCCATACTAGATGGTCTTGCCATAAGGACTACTGAGGAAAAGTCCAGGCTTATTCGTGTGACAATCCACTGCAGATCCATTGGCTACCATTAATCTTCAGAATTTTTTGGCACTGTAAAATGACATTTCGAATCTCAAAACCCGCCTATGAGAGGCGATTCCAATTGGACAAAATTTTCTGCCAAACTCGAAAAATCGATAGAGCACTTGCAGTCATTTTTCGAATTCACAAACGCTGCTCCACGCAAATTTCCAGTCAAAAAATCTACCAATTATCAATCAATCCAATAAATTTCCATAGACTTATTCATTACTGAGAAGCTGCCAACTGCCAACTGGTCCGCCAGAATAATTACTTCTACTATGAAGATAAAATAATGAGGTTGTGTTGGGAAGTTTGATTTCCATGTTATTCTAACTGAGATCTCTAGGAAATGAGGATTCCACTCATTCATGGGGGTTAAACTTTTATATCTCGAATACAGTAAGGAATTTTTGGTTTAAAATTACTCCAATATAATTAATATGTCATCTCATTTTCAAGATGTTGTACAAGAATAAGAAGGGTCTGTTCCGTTTACCTTCTCTTGAGCTAAGATTTCGGTGCTTCTGTGTCTCCATTGCTACTATAATTGGTCGAATACTATTTATCTACGAAGCTCGGACTTGCAGGGTGTGCGATAGACTTACCTCCACGTGGTGCACTCTGGGCAACGTATACTCATGCGGCAAAAAGTCTATTAATCGGCAGTTGAATTCTCACTTCAAACTACCATCACCCCCGCTGTATGTCATATTCGACCCCCTACCGCTTCTCATCTTACCCTTTCTGAGCCTTTGTGTCTGTTTCTTTTACATCTTTGAAACACCCTTCTATTCCCCCTCCTGAATTCTTCTCACTTTGATGTTCCTCCTCCCCTCTGTAAAGCCCGAAGTCAACTAAAGGGCTAATGATAACTATCAAAACGCCTGCCATTTGTTATAAATAAATAAGTTCAGAATTGCATAATCGTGTGGACGAAAATATTCCTGTATAAAAACCCTGCAACAAGTGCAGGTGAACAAAGAATGTGACCAGGCTTTGGCACCATGCAACATTTAAAGGTCCTGCCCTAAGAAGAATTGACTGTCCTATTGGTAAGCCACAAACAATGAATTGGATGATCCTTTATCTAAACAAACACCCTAGTGGGATAAATCTCCAACGGCTAGTTTTTTTTGAGAGATGGTGGGACTGACCTTGACATTATACCCATTAGTTCTGCCTACTTTCTCAGTAACCAATCAAACTCCCACGTGGAGTGGGGGCGTTTAACGTCCGGAGAAACCCACAATTTTCTTGCCACATCTCCTGCACTGGCGTGACAACTTAATTGATTTCCAATGCTCACACCTGAATATGTTGAACCACTTGTGTTGAGTCGCCGTACTAATAACATCTTTTATTCACCAAAACCGTTCTCCTTTTTCCTCTGAATTAAATGTGATTAGCTGCAGCCCTTAATAAAGGGCATCTTAGAAGTTAAATGGAGGCTTCTACGAGAGGGCAATAAAAGTTTTGAAAATAGTGACAAAAAATTTCAATAACTTTCAAGGAAACCGACGGAGAAAAAGATTTAAAAAGGCTCAAGCAAATTTAATTGAACCACTGAGGGAGAACATACCTCTTCTAAGGTTGTCAGGCCTCATCATCTCAAATGTTGGACAACCCTTTCCAGCACGGAAAATGATGGCGTCATCACATACAAAAATGAGGACATTTTAAGAACTGATTTACAAAAGACTACTGATGGTAAAAAGTTCGACTCCTACTTCAAATAAAATGGGTGTAAACTGATCATAAGAAGTTTAATAAAAAACCAACTGATCCAAAATTCAGTAAATCAAATAAAATATAATCAAAATACACGACCAGTGGAGAACAGGACAGCTTTCCCAATTTCGTTAAAAGGTGGATTTGGGACAGTGGACATCGGAAATACTTCCAGTGACTAACTGAAATGTCCTCTCAATGCATGTGGGTTTCAGCCTTCGAAATACGCCGATGTTTGACACGGTGTTCTCATCAGCATTGAAAGAATTATCGTGTATTTGCATTCCTCAAAAAGAGCACGTTTATCCAACCCCCCCCCCCCCCCCCCCCCCCCCCCCCGACCTCACCTTGAAAGTCTTGAATAGCCTCTCGTTCAGCTCTATTCATTCAAACGATGCGTCTGGGTCAATACAGCGCTATTCGGAATCATGCTTCCGTGGAAGAAAATATTATTTCACTCAGAATCCCTGGGAGCTTCCAAACTGGGAGAGGAAGGTACCAAGAAATAATTAATTCGATAAAAAAATTGATGAAAATATTCGCAACTTGAGGTGAGGTCCTGAAATGTCTCCAGTACTACAGAATGCTATCAATAAAACGATTTAATTCATTTCATATCAAAAGGCGCTGTCAATTGCGATAATTTTTAAGAAATTAGAAGTTCAATTTAGCAACAGTTATTGTGATTTTAGGGGTAGAATTTAAACAAAATTTATTTTTGCAGGCTTCTAGAAAATTCGGTTGAATAAACAGCAGTATTAGTGTAAATACTTCAAAGTCCGAATTGCTTTTTCAGACTAAATAGTTTAATTGTTTTTATTAACTCAAATCATTGAAAGCTTTCAAGGTTTTGGGCTTTTGACTTATTTTTACGTTTATTGGAATAAATATTTAATAATTACGCAAAGTGGTAGAAATAAAAATTTGTATCACGTTGATTGTTTCTAAGCAAAATATTGAGTGAAGAGTCACTGATGTCAGTCCCTTTGTCAATGTACATCTCAATGAAACACGTCAAATAAGACATGATGGAATCGAAAGTAAATTGAAAAATGCAACTTAGATCAATTTCCTATTAAATTGAGAACATTTTATTCAAAACACTAAGCGTTATACTTGAATATTTTATGAGATTTTTGAGTCCTCATATGCTATTCAAATCAAGGTCAAATCAAATCGAAGTCAAATCAAATGCTGAGATAAAGGAATGTAGAAAACTCTATGAGCTGCTGAGAGAGAAAAACAAAACAGTGGTCTTACAATGGATTCTTTGTCACTGTGGCATTAAAGGCAGTGAGCTTGCTGACACACTTGCTAAGAAGGGGACAACGATTTTGCAATGCATGGACCGGCCGATGTCTTTCCACACAATGAAGGCCTTAATCAGGAGAGAATTCCAGACCTCAAGGTGCAACGAAATTAAAGCTCGAACAAAGGAGAAACAGTGGACAGTGGCAATCTCCGACATACCCGACTGGCCAAGAATCGAAGCCGTTGCTGAGTTTAGACTACGTACCGGACACGATTGCTTGGCTAAACACCTTCACAGATTGGGATTATACACTCAACCCACATGCCCTCTATGTAACCTACAGGAGGAAATGGAGAAGATCCACCTGATTCGATTTCTAGCCCTAAAGACAACGACGGAAAGCCAGAGATACTGGGAAGCAAGAAGACGGCTAATTAACTGCTATTAACTAACCGCTATAAATGTACCCCCCCCCCTCCCTTGGGGGAAGCTGAAGTCGATGTTTAAGGGCTAATGATAAATATTACAAAGCCTGCCATTTGAAATAATAATAATAATAATAATGCTAGAATGATTTGAAGAAAAGCCAGACAGTAAGCAACTTGCGGTAATTGATTGGCTGACCTGTTACCCAATAATTGCGGTTATGTATGGCTCAATTGTGGGCTTACGCAACTATGTGTGT